GGCTGATTTGTTATGAGAGAAAAATATTGTTCGTTCGCTGAAAAAATACGGATTATAAGCCAAGCGAACAGGGCACTAGTTTAGTGCCACAACTCTGTAACTAGGGTAAAGTACGTGATGATTTCCTTGGTAGCCATGCATGACATCACCTTGCTGCCACACACAGCCCAACCTGCCGCAGAACGATCGCTTAGACGTCCGTAAGACAAGGGCGGTAGGTAGGATTTGAGCCACCACGCTGAACCTCGCCAGTTCTCCAGCACGACACATTTTCCCTGAGCCACCAACTTCCACCATCGAAGACCCTAAGGGACCCTGGGGCGGGGGAGGTTCCACGGCCGAGGGCCCTCACGGGATGGGGGCCCAAGCCCAAGTATATAATACCCCATGCCCTTTAGCTATAGTCCATTAGGATTTAGGATTAATGAGAAGATGTAGCAGCCCATTAGTAAAAGGAGTCGTCGACCTCTTTCTTTCCAGGAGGTAAGGAGCCGAGCCGCCAACACCTGCACACTCGCACATAGCGATCGTGAGTCGCGACTTCCGAACTTTTGGCAAGACGGCAAGATGCGAAACTACGACTCTGCGAGAGACGCAGCGCCGATCACCAGCGCAAATTACCGAGACACTGACGTCCGAGTTCCAGTCTTCCAGAATCCAAGACGACGGCGGCGGCGACCAGGCAGCTGAGGCAAGGCTCGACGAGGACGACGACATCTGATCTTGGTTATTGCCTTCTGTCCTTTTTGTGATTTGTGAATCTTGATTCTGAATAAGTTCATGTCCAAATTGTCTGCTAGGCCCCTAGTTTTTTTTTTCCTTATTCAATTTTTGTCTAGTACTTTGTACTCATATAGTCATGTTTTTCTTGTAATTTAGGTCATGTGTTAGAATTTTAGAATGTTACTTAAGAAACATTTATCAAGAGGGTCCGTCGCGACGAGTTCGTCAGAGGACCCTCAAAATCCTAGGACCGGCCACTGATCTCTCGTGGTGGGATAAGGGAATCATTTTCTCTCTCCCACTGATCTTGCAAACTCGGTGGCCACCTCCATGGATCTGTCATCCACCTAGCAAGGCGGGCGTTGTGAGAGCAGGGTGGATGATGACGGACATGCGATCAATGCGAGAGAGATATGTGCGAGAGAGAACCTGGGAGACAAAACTGAGGAGAGGTACGTGTGGGGGAGAAGAAGAAAAAAACTACAGTACAGACAGTAATGGAGTTTGATCACATGTATGATCGGGCCGTCCTAGCCGTAGGATTAAGAACTTTTTAGTTCTTATAAGATTTGTGATGAGTGATTTTATTTTAAAATAAAAATAAAAAAGGAAACTGTTTGCAGATAGATCGATCGATCGAATGGGTGGTTTGTGGATTGAATTGAATGATGATTATTAGACATGTACTACATCACAGTATTAGCGCTGGACCTGGACCTGAGCACGTTGGGGGGGGGTATGTTAGTTGCTAACGGACCTGTCTGAGAACATCTAAGCCCGTTATTGGGCCCCCCGTAAACTGAAAATTTTGTGGCCCACTTCACAGCAGCCGGCCCGCAGCACCGATGCTTTCCGTCCTTGACCATTCACTACTCTGCCGTGGATTATTGACCCTTTTTCTATTGTAAATCTGTACGGCTTAGCCTTTTTCTTTCCTTTTTTGTTGCTTCATTTTCCTTCTATTTTGTGTTTCTGCTAGTATCTTTATATTAGGCCATCTGGTATTTTTCATATACTCCATATATATTTCGAGTATACTTGATAAAGAGGGGGCGAAAATGGGGGACAGAGGACCACAATGATTAACATTTGAAGATCATTGTTAGTTGCACATGCATGCGTGGTACCGGTAGCAGGAGCAGGTGGTGGGAGGCACTGACAAATGCATGCAAGTGACACATTTATTTGCTTGCAGATTGGGACAAGAATGGGAACTGAGCTAGCTGTGCGCCCGAGAAATTAAAGATGAAAGTGTCGTCGTTGGACTTGCATTGCACATTTGCACATGGATTACATTGACGTTGCCCGGGTTCTATGCATGCATTGCATGTGATGTCGTACGCGCGATCCAGTCCACAGAGCTCAAGACAACATACCAGTATATTTCCAGGGGGTATTAATTAATTAATTATTATTATTATCCCTACAAATAATACTATCGAAGCAAAGCTTCCGGTTTCCCGCCGAGCAGGACTAATCGCCAGCTGGAGAGGGCATAAGTGTGTTTTTTTTAAGGGACGAAGGAAGCCCCAAATCTTGAGAAATATTTCTCGATCTCTAGAGACAATCTCATCCTTTATGGTTCTAGAACGAAACACAGGGACGAATCATTGTTCTATCCCCGAACCAAGCACAAAATTAACCTTAAAACGTGCTCGGCTCGTCAATTTTTGGTGTGTATCTGTTTACAGTGTTACGAGATGACGTTGCATCTCGTTTGGTTAGAGTGGCCCGTATACCACGAGAATCATATATTGTTTTCATTTCAGGACGGACGATGGAGTTCACATGACACGTAGTATGCAGACACGGGATCGGAAAATCGAAACTTTACGTCTTCAAATAAATCAATTTCTATCCGTGTCAGTTAAACTATATATACATATATTAAGTTTAGCTAACTTTATAGGAAAAGAGTAACAATATTTATGACATAAAATGAGTATATTATGAAAATATATTCCATGGTATATCTAAGAACAATGTCAATAATAGAGCCAAGTGTTAGGCCATAAGTCAAGTTACAAGAGCTAAGCTATACAATAGTTGTCTCCTATTTGTTTATAATTTTTTTTCTTATTATTATGTGGTACCATGTCTTACTTTCTCTTTCCTACTCATCCTCACATACACTATTGTTTGGGCCCACAAATGTCTATGCTTCCGTCGCATAGCTTGGTGCTAGAATAAGAGCCAAGTTCTCTTCTGTCTCATCTCTTCTATCATCCATATCAGCAAAAATGCTGACTAACTTGGCTATATAAGCCCGTTACTGTATTTGATCTCATGGTACTAATTTTGTGTGACAGATTTTTTTTAATAAAAATTCGATCAAAGTTTAATACTAAGTTTGACTTGTACTAATTTATTTGTTCACGGACGGACAGATGTAAAGTTTCAGCGGAATCAGCGGCGGCGGCCCTGCCGCGAATCCATCCTGCTGGGCGGTGGCCGACTTCGGCCGGCGCGCGCGCGTTCAACGGCAACGGTCTCCAGGGCGGCACCCTACCTATCCCATTCGGCCATTCCCGTTGGTCCCGAGGCCCGAGGACACGGCCGGGCCACCCCATTTTCTTTTCCTTTTTATTTATTTACGGAAAATAGTATTAGCAACATTTATGAGTGTACTACAAAATAATAGATTCTATGATTAATGAACAGCAATTATTTACTATTATAAATATTAGTATCTCTTTTAGATTTGATCGAACTTAAAAATTCTTTTGACTTGTCGAAAACTATAATCACATTCTTTTTTGAGATACGATCACCTACATTCATTAGGCCGTATGTATCTGATGGTCCGTCTCCAAGGTAGGTGATATTTGATTGCATATTTGCATTTGAGCTTTAGCGCTAGTGATGGCTGACCGGCTAAAACGATTTGTGCTTCCGAGCTAATAATAAATAGAAGTGTCGTCGTTGTACTTGCATTGCACATGGATTACATTGACGTTGCCCGGGTTCTATTAATTAATTAATTATTATCCCTACAAATAATACTATCGAAGAAGCAAAGCTTCCGGTTTCGCGCCGAGCAGGTCTAACCGCCAGCTGGAGAGGGCATAAGTGTGTTTTTTTTAAGGGACGAAGGAAGCCCCAAATCTTGAGAAATATTTCTCTCTAGAGACAATCTCATCCTTTATGTTGTAGAACGAAACACAGGGACGAATCATTGTTCTATCCCCGAACCAAGCACAAAATTAACCTTAAAACGTGCTCGGCTCGTCCATTTTTTGGTGTGTATCTGTTTACAGTGTTACGAGATGACGTTGCATCTCGTTTGGTTAGAGTGGCCCGTATACCACGAGAATCATATATTGTTTTCATTTCAGGACGGATGGAGTTCACATGACACGTAGTATGCAGACACGGGATCGAAAAATCGAAACTTTTAATACGTCTTCAAATAAATCGGTTTCTATCCGTGTAAGTTAAACTACATATACATATATTAAGTTTGACTAACTTTATAGAAAAGAGTAACAATATTATATTAAGTTTCACTAACTTTATAGAAAAGAGTAACAATATTCATGACATAAAATAAGTATATTACGAAAAATATTTTCCACGGTATATCTAAGAGCAAGGTCAATAATAGAGCAAAGTAGGCTATAAGTCAAAGTTATAAGAGCAAGCCATACAATAGTTGTCTCCTATTTGTTTATAATTTTTTTTCTTATTATTATATGGTACCATATCTTAGTTCCTCTTTTTTACTCGTCCTCACATACACTATTGTTTAGGACCACTGATGCCTATGCTTCCGTGCCTAGCTTGATGTTATAATACTCCCTCCATTCAAAAATTAGGGGCGTATTTGGGTGTGCCGCGATGACCAAGGAAAGCTGGCGCATGCAGGATTGCTCCTTAAATAGCTGTTTCCATTTACTCCGCCCGCGTCTGTTGGATTACCGAGCAAACAGTCCGCTAACCCCGCCCAAAACGCCGTTAGCGCGCGTGCTCAGCTTTCCTTTTCACCGCCTTGAAATCTTCTTTCTTTCCTTTTCACCATGCACGGCATCGCGCTGCAATTTCTTCCTTCCCTATTGACGGCGCGAAATTTTCATCCTTTCCTTTTCACCATGCACACAACGCACTCAAATCTCTCTTCTTTTCGTTTTTTCTTCTTCATGCAACCAAATTTCAAAAGGAAATTTCATTTGCCGCCAAAGCTTCATGACATACATCTCATTTAGGTTTGCACGGTCTACATATAAGACCACTGAACCCTTCCATCTCTCTCCATCTCACACTCATGCTGTACTACAACCATGCCTGGGCTAGAGATCGATTTGAACCAAAATCCATCAGAATCAGACTTAGAAAATCCCATAGCTTGGGATGAGATAGAGGAGTGGGATGGCCCTGCCAATGAACTCGATTATGCCATGGTCTGGAATGATGAGAATCAAGGTGAGTACCTAATCATGATCCTCGATCTGCTGTGCCTTCCATCTGTGCATGATCTGAACTTTTTTGATTCTGTGTTCCATATCTTAGGTCATGGCCAAGGATCAGATGGAGAACAAGATGATGCTCCAGCAGATGGAGAACAAGATGATGCTCCAGCAGTGCAGCCATCGAGCCTTCATCGTCGTCGGTAGAATCTGGTGCCCAGTTGACGCCACGCACGTACGAGACCTTGCCGTCGCCGTCATGGCGATCCATCGTCTTGCAGCAGCACGCCAGCTTGGAGCGACTCGCAGCGTGGCGGCGTGGCGGCGTAGAGCAACTCACGACTCGGCGGCATGGCGGCGTGGAGCAACTCGCGACTCGGCGGCGTGGCTCTCAGCGCGTACGTGACTCGGCGGCGGCGTGACTCGCGACTTCCTTTGGCGTGACTCTTATACTCCAGCGCGGCCAGGATCACTAACGGGAGGGAACGGAGCGAGGCACTTGAAGCGACGGGAGACGGCGCTGCATGAATGCCGCGAAAGTTACGAGGAGGCCAAGTCTCGTATGATGAGCGCCGGCGCATGGGGAAGAGGTCCATACATTATACGCCCCTAATTTTTGAAAAAAAAATTGGTAATACGCCCCCAATTTTTGAATGGAGGGAGTAAGAGCCAAACTCTCTTCTGTCTCATCTCTTTTCTCCTCTGCATCAGCAAAAATGCTGACTAGCTTGGCTACTTGATCTCATGGTACTAATTTTGTGTGACAATTTTTTTTAATAAAAAATCGATTAAAGTTTAATACTAAGTTTGACTTGTACTAATTTATTTGTTCACGGACAGATGTAAAGTTTCAGCGGAGTCAGCGGCGGCGGCCCTGCCGCGATTCCATTGCCGACTTCGGCCGGCGCGCGCGTTTATCGGGGCGAGGGCAGGGGCAACGGTCTCCAGGGCCCCACCCTATCCCATTCGGCCATTCCATTTCCCGTTGGTCAATCCCCCGCCCCGAGGCCCGAGGATCTACCGCCACATTTTCTTTTCCTTTTTATTTATTTACGGAAAATAGTATTAGCAACATTTATGAGTGTACTATAAATAAGTACTACAAAATAATAGATTCTATGATTAATGAACAACAATTATTTACTATTATAAATATTAGTATCTCTTTTAGATTTGATCGAACTTAAAAATTCTTTTGACTTGTCAAAAACTATAATCACATTCTTTTTTGAGATACGATCACCTACATTCATTAGGCCGTATGTATCTGATGGTCCGTCTCCAAGGTAGGTGATATTTGATTGCATATTTGCATTTGAGCTTTAGCGCTAGTGATGGCTGACCGGCTAAAACGATTTGTGCTTCCGAGCTAATAATAAATAGAGGTGTCGTTGCATGTATGAGTTGGACATACATGTTCTTGCATCAGTTCTGATCAAAGTTAAGGTAATTGAAGAATCAAATAAAACTGACTAACAGAATGTCAGATCAAATTGTAAGATGATGGAAAAGCATTAAACAAAAAGCATTATTTAGACGCGCACCTTGTATTTATGAGGGACTGCATAGTAATTGTAGATAGTGGGGGTGTCCCACTGTAGTGTCTTGTCCGTATTTCTGAGGGACTGCATAATAATTGTAGATAGTGGGGGCGTCCCGCTATAGTGTCTTGTCCAAAAGAAGTCTGTACTCGTTATGCTTGTAAGGGCCCATTTGGATCACATGATATGAAGTATATAAGAATAGGAAAACCTCAAGAATCTAGATGACCAGGAAAGGAAACATTCCTTAGGAAATCTAATCCTACAAAATCCCTTTGCCCACCCGGTGAACCAAAGGGTTGTCATCAACCATCCACCTAGCTCCTTTTTGGCATGCATCTGGTAGCAAGTTTCCTAGCTCTATCACCAACGCGGTCGCTTGCACCGCCATACCTGCTACCTCTGCCACCTCGAAGAGGTATACACCCCGTCTCACGTCAACTTATGCTATCACAAAAATAGAAGCCATGTATCGATTTATTCAAGGGTTGACTTGTATAATGGAAACATCATTTTAAAGGCACTTAACTACGGTCCGTTGAGTCCGTTCCATCCCACCCGAGACCTGGAGATCGCGCTAGATTCGCCCTGGCGCCCCTGCTTCGCGGAGGGTCGACTCTTTCTGCGAGCGCCCAAAGCTGTCCGAGCTAGAGTCCACGGTGGAGTAATAACTAAATAAACAACAACCCGTAACAACCCATACACGCCCTGTGTTGTACAGGCCCTTACAAATCGTGTGGCTGATGATATTGAAACCACATGCATGTCCAATGTGCCACGACCTGGCTAGGTAGCGGTAACCGACCAAACAATCATATTCAAACCATATAGTTGTGGTGGTCTAACATGGCCACACATATCTTTAAGGGTCTGTTCGGTTATCCCGGATCAGAGCTAGGAACCATTCCAACTTATTAACACTATACTATAAATTAGTGAACTATTTCCACTGGGAATCGTTCCGGGAACCGAATGAGCCCTAATATGTCCACCGATCAAAAGTATCCGCTCATTCGATTTACATATGCCACGGTTCGATTTCACTGAACACTAGGGCTACTCTGAGCTGCTCTGTTTGAATTATACTCCGTATAAGCTAGGACAAGATACTAGATCTTTATACTATATTTTAACTATTTTAATTAATTTATTTACACGAGGTATTATATTATATACAATATTAAAAAGGAAGCTCCATACGTACTAGTACTAGATACTGATGGAGTAGATTGCTGATACCCATCGGCTGCCGTAGCCTTCCTCGGATCCGTCTCGTATCTTTTCACTCAGCAGGCAGTCCACACAAGCCGGCCAAGCAGGAGGAGGAGGAGGAGGAGCACGTACCCCAGTGCCGTTCAGTACAGCTGTACGGGTAGTGGTGGTCTGAGCTGGGCGTGAACTGTCCCCACCATCCTTTTCTTGCTTCGTTCCCCTCTCTCCGCTCCCCTGGTTCCGCTTCACACTGGTGTCACTAGTCACGCGCTCCCCTCCCTCCTCTGCTCTCCACTTCGCCGCTCCCTTCCCACTCACAAGAAGAAACTGAAGTTACTAGTAGAGCACACCACACCCACGCCATTCCATTTCCGCTGGACGGAGCCACGGAGGGGAGCAGGAGCGCAAATAAAAAGAGAGAGTTCGGATCTCCGTCTCCCCTCCCCACAAGTAAACAAGAAGCAGCAGACCTTCTTGACCTAGCAAGCAAGCAAGCAATGGCGGCGCTAGCGCCGCTCCTCGCCGCCGCCGCCGTCGCGTTCCTGGCCGCCGTCGCGCAGGCCGCCGACCCCTTCGCCTTCTTCGACTGGGACGTCTCCTACATCACCGCCTCCCCTCTCGGCGTCCCGCAGCAGGTCCGTCCGTAGTGCTCTCCTTCTTCCTCTTCCTCTGCTGCTTGTTTGCTGCTGCTACTTGTACTCAACTCTGCGTCTCATTTCTCATCCCCTGCGTGCGACCGCAATACGAAATCGAATCCAATCGAATCCAGTCGGGAGTGCGTCTTCTTCATCCCTTAGATGCTGCCCCAAGGCTTGGATTTTGCTTCCTCCTACGGGCTCAAGAACATCATCGTCGAGATTGGATTTCTCGCCCCCCTGATTTCATGTCAGGCGGCCGCCAGCATTTCTGACCGTTGGGGAAAAGATTCAGTTTTCGATGTCTGCATCTCCCTTTTCTGACCGACTGACCCTACCCGCACACAGCAGCCCATGCTCTCTTTTGCCTCAAGATTCCTTTTTTTTTCCATAGAAAAATCCTGGGTTGCTTCTTGCGCATTTGCAGGATTTCAGACTTGCTTGTGCGCCTTGTCCGCTCAAAGATTTTCAACTGTAATAAAGTTGAGATTTTTCCCCCTTGTGTATGGAAAGCAATGAGTGAACAGACAGATGGTTGAACGAACCCCCGCTCCCCTGGGCAGTTCGAAGTTCAAACACACTGCTACCCGCAAAGTTTCAGTATTCAGATCTCCTCTAGATCTCCTCTACTACCGGCTGGTTTTCACTGCCAAACTCACTGTTCCTAAATGCTTTAGGATTCCTTTAGCATAGTAGTACATTTATTAGACAGCCTCCTTCGAAGGCTTTCTAGTAGCTACTTAATATGCCCGTCTCTAACTGTGTTTGCCCGTCTCTTGTTTCAGGTTATTGCAATCAACAAGCAGTTCCCAGGCCCTATCATGAATGTCACCACCAACTACAATGTGGTCGTCAATGTGCTCAACAGCTTGGACGAGCCCCTGCTCATCACTTGGTGAGCACTCTCATAGTCTCACCGTTGCGGCATCTTCTTATGCACTTGTGCTTAGGTGCCCCGCTTTCATTTCATTTACTGACTCACGGTGTTTGGGTCTATGTATGATTTCAACCCAACCAGGGATGGGATCCAGCAGCGCAAGAATTGCTGGCAGGATGGGGTTCTCGGCACCACCTGCCCCATACCGCCGGGTTGGAACTGGACTTACAACTTCCAGGTCAAGGACCAGATTGGCAGCTTCTTCTACTTTCCACCCCTCGGTATGCAGCGTGCCGCAGGGGGTTTCGGAGGTATCACTGTCAACAACCGCGCGGTGATCTCAGTCCCATTCGACACGCCCGATGGGGACATCACGCTGTTTATCGGGGACTGGTACAAGATGAACCACACGGTAGGTAGGGGGGAAAACACGGGTTCTATTGCAGGATGCATCACATAGTTTTACAGTGATCATGGGTGCTCATTGTGTTCGTCTTCTCATCTGTAGCACCTGAGGAAGATGCTTGATGATGGGAAGGAGCTGGGGATGCCAGACGGTGTTTTGATGAATGGCAAGGGGCCATATAGGTATAATGACTCACTCGTGCCAGATGGCATTGAGCACGAGACTATCAAAGTTGAGCCAGGTGATTACTTTTCTCACTTTAAGCATCATAGGGCTGTCACATCAAACTGTGATGGCAGGTTTTTGAATTAGTCCCTAGAAGTCCACCTCTTCGATGTTTTTAAATCTCAGAAGTTCATCTGTTTGCTGTTGCTTCACATGAATGTTACCACTGAACTACACACAATGTTTTCCCTAGATGTTGGAGGAATGATGGTGATAATTCAATATCACTTCCATGATGGCAACACCTACTAAAGTTTATTTGACTAATGATTGCTTTTGTATGTATTCATAATCTGATAGTTGACAGCTTCCATTCCTCAACAGGAAAAACATACCGTTTCCGTGTCCATAATGTTGGTGTCTCCACAAGCTTGAACTTAAGGATTCAGAATCACAACATGGCCCTTGTTGAAACAGAAGGTTCATATACAATGAAGCAGAATTTCACTAATCTCGACATCCACGTGGGCCAGTCTTACTCATTTTTGGTCACTATGGATCAGAACGCAAGCAGTGATTATTACATTGTGGCCAGTGCTAGGTTTGTGAATGAATCACTCTGGACCAGAGTCACCGGTGTTGCGATTTTGCAATATTCAAATTCAAAGGGCAAAGCATCTGGTCCTCTTCCTGATCCACCAAATGATGAGTATGACAAAACTTTCTCAATGAACCAGGCACGCTCAATCAGGTTTGTAGAAAAGAAAGAAACTTTCTTCCTGGTTATTGACTATCCAAGTGACCGCAGTCTTGACTTTCCTATGCAATCCTACTGAAAGCATTGATTCACCACCCATCATGTCCTGGCACTTGGTATCTGCTTCTTTTCTTGAAAGGGCGGGTGCTATAGTATTTTTATTTTTTTTATAACATCCTTTTTGGCTATATCTAACTATACTTTGTTAGTACCGTTGTGTATACAAGTAATATAGCTAGCTCCTTCTAGTTGTTTTGCCCCGTACCTTGCCGTTGCCTTTTGTCTATCTTGTAATATAGTTCATGTGCATTCCAAGAGGGTTGTAGCATTTCAGAATTATTTTCTGCCCAAATATTTGCCCTCTTCCTATTGTACTTATTCCATATAAGTTGTATTAGAAACTTCAATCTGTTATCAACACCAACAGCGATCTCTAAAAGGCTTAATATTCATTAGTTTTGTCTCTACTAGCAAAGCATCATCAATGAACAGAGTGTTGGGGCGTCTGCTAGTATTTGCTGGCAACAGACAGTACAGACGTGTAGCACTGTCTAACCAAGTTTTCATGTGCATACTGGATTATGTATGTATCTACATCTTAGCCTCACATTGCACCTTTTCTTTCCAGGATGAACGTGAGCACTGGTGCTGCTCGTCCGAATCCTCAAGGCTCATTTCACTATGGCTCTATCAATGTGAGCCAGGTTTACAAGCTGAGGAATGAACCACCTGTTATCATCAATGGGAAGAAACGGACTACACTGAGTGGTATCTCTTATTCGCCACCTGATACTCCTCTGAGGTTGGCAGATCTCTATGACAAGAAGGATGTCTACACACTCGACTTCCCTACAATGCCAATTGATGGACCGCCAGTGATCAGAACATCTGTCATTAACTCCACATACAAGAACTTTTTGGAAATTGTATTTCAGAACAACGACACAACTGTCCAAACCTACCATATCGATGGATATGCATTCTGGGTTGTAGGGTGAGTAAAGCTTCTATTTCTCATTTCCTTATGCTGCCACATTTTCAAGAATCCTGGATACTGAATCATTTTTCATGCTGCCAACAGAATGGACTATGGCGAGTGGACTGAGAATAGCCGTGGTACTTACAACAAGTGGGATGGTGTTTCTCGTTGCACGACTCAGGTAACTGTTGTGGGATAAAGTAATATTTTTTCTGTGTTTCTGGGTGCTAATGTTCATACCCTTGTGGATACAATAAATCTATTACTTTTACACTAATAAAGTGACATATCACATATGCACTTGTGTAGATATGATTGCTGAAAGTGTTGGTGCATGCAGCCGAACTGATGTTACTACTGTGTTATTGATCCTGCAGGTGTTTCCGGGAGCATGGACCGCTGTGATGCTGTCACTTGACAGCCCAGGGTTTTGGAATGTACGGACGGAAAACCTGGACACATGGTATCTGGGTCAGGAGACTTACATCAGGGTGGTGGATCCAAATGGAGGCTATAATGTTACTGAGATGGTGGCTCCAGACAACATGCTTTACTGCGGCCTCCTCAAGGATAAACAGAAGTACGATATCTGCTTATCTTATGTGCTCCTCATCTAGTAGATAGTAAAAAACTCCTCCCTCAATTTATGCGCAACTGCCTAACAACGCTTCTGACATTTCCCCCCTTCCCAGGGCTCAGAAGCCTCATGGTTCAAGGTCATCAGCCTCTGCGGCAAAACTGAACTATCATGTGCTTGTGGTTTTGCTCGCTTTGGTAGCCTTGGCGTTGGGCCTTTGACAAGAACTGCCAGCTTGTGGTCGGGCTGCTGCTTGCAGATTAATTAGGCGTTTGATAGAAATACTGTTAAGTAGGTCAGTCGAATTCGTAGGTTCCATTCATGATTTGTCTGGCGATTGAAATACTGCTGTTGCTCATCTTTGTCGATCAGAGCTGATTAACATGCTGAAGAACTGTGCAGTAGCTCGATCAGCATATTGAGATTGAGCACAAATTTAAGGCTGTCGGCAGCTGGCACCCGCAAGCAAGGAGTGTCGTGCTGCCTGAGATGGTCCTTGTGTGTGAGTGTGTTTTCTTGATCAATCAATCTGTGGAGAGTTGGATATTGTTAGTTGTAGCCATGCATCCCATTGCAGTTAGTCTGTTACAGTTTCAATCAGTCTGTGAATTGCAGTAGTTTCAGGCAAACCATGGACAGTTGAAGGCACTGTGCACAACAGTAGGCGTTGCTGTATCGCAATCAGTCTGTTAAACAATGAACAATTCCGGTAGTTCTAGAACTGATGACGCGACCGTTTGACTGACTGATGACGCATTTTCTTTTCACTAATTTTTGCCCGGTTTACCGGTGACGGTGAGTGCTTAAAGCAGTCGATGGAGCGGTGGTGATGATTGATGAGTAGGCTTGCCCTTGCATGTGAGATCGCCATAATTAGCGCCACCATAAATCAGATCAAATAACGTTAAGCTGGGATTTTGACCGATGGCCGGGACTAGATGGAATGAAGAAACCGGCTGGTAGGGTAGGTAGCTGAGTAGTGACTATCAGCTAGTATTTCAGTGGTAGAGAGGTCAGGTGCCCATATAAGTTTGACATCTTTTTTTGAATGCTTTTTTTTTATTGCTACAAGTGTGATATTTGAACCGAAACGATCATCTCATCTACATGCTATATAGAGTAACTAACCGTGCTTATCAAAATTATTGTATGCTTTCTGTTATATGAATACAAACAAATATTGTCAGTGTCGGTTCGTTAAAAAAAATCTACAGGGTGTACGATGCCACTTGCCTGTTTTACCACCACTCAGAGTTATCTCGTGAAAACTCTTAATTAAAAAAATAGTTATCTCGTGCTCCTTCTCGGTTATGAGGCCATCTCCATGTTCGGCGAATTGACACGTAGGGCCACTATCTTCGGTACCATCTTCGGCGTGGCCACCTTGTTCGTGGCCGCCAGCTGGCTTCAGTCTCTGAATTGGCGGGACCATAGAAAGGATCGTTGGCGCCGGCGGCGCGGCGAGCCTAAGGATGACTACGGAGAGGTGAGAGAAAGGGAAGACACGTTGGTGAAAAGACAATAGAGACTTTTTTTTTGCTGAACTTTAGTATTTTTAGACCAAATTAGCTAGGTTTGGAGAGCTAATGGGTAGTTGGGTGGTGGTTAAAAACTAACGCCAGTGTTAGCGTCCTGGCGGACACGCGCGGCCGGACGTCTACACCTACACTCAGTTTTGTACGCCCACGTGGGCCTCACCGTCCGAACGTCGCCCGCACTGACCGCCCTGCTCGCGCCTCCTCCGCTTCCCCGCCTGGACGTCTGTGCCTGCTCGGTGGCGCCCCAGCAGCAACACCCATCTACTTTTAAAATATCTAAAAGAAACATTTGCAACATGTTTCTAAAGACAGATGAAATAATTAAAATATGCGTCTGAAACACTTACAAAAAACACTTGAAAAAGCCATTGCAAAACATATAAAACATCTAGGTAAAACTTGCAACATATGTGTGGAACATATGCAACATCCAAATAAGCATACTTGCAACATACGTCTGAAAAAGCAGATGAAACATTTAGAACGGGCACTTGCAACATACTTGTACAACCATTACAACATGTGCAACATTCCGATCTATTTTTGCTACATCCGTATGAAACACTTGCAACATACCTTTGAAACATCTGAAACAATTAAAACATACTCTTGCAATATGTGCTTTCAAGCTTTACCCGTTATCAATTTATAGGGAAAAAAGGGGGAATAAGAAATTGGTGCTCAACATCTCCTTGCTGCTTGGTAGAATGGAGGCTCATCGGTGTGCAGTGTTCACCGGAGGCAGTGGCCGGCGACGCTTGTAGACGGCGGCAGTGGTTGTACGTCGCGGAAGGTAGGCATCGGCCGCACGAGCGGTGGGGAGGCCGCGACCGCACGACTTGGAGAGGGCAGCCGCGTCGCGCCTAGCAGGACCGGCAACCGAGCACTGCAACTCGGAGGCGGCCGCGCGCCGTGCCTGGCAAGACCAGCAGCCGAGCGCTGCGCCTCGGAGGCGGCCATGCGCTCGGAGGTGGCAGGCGAGTGGATAAGAGCGATAGGAAGAGGAACGAGTGGATAGGAATAAGTGGATGAGCAGTTTTTTTGAGAAACGAAAGAGCGTGGGTTGTTGGGCTGGCGTCATGGCCCAGCAACGAAGCATCCGGGCAGACGGACGCCCAGTTCAGAGCTTCACCGAAAAACTAACCCACATGTTTAGATCCTCGATCAAGGGCTAAAAATTTGTCAGTTAGCTATTAGTTCAGTCCTCCGGAGGATCCAAGCTGATCTTTTTTTAGGTGAGGATCTAAACAGATCCTAAGTACAACTTAAGTCATCCACCTATGAAAATCTCTGCCCTCGTGAAAATTGCCTATTCCATAAGCCTTGTAAAATTCATGTTCAGATGCGTCCCAAGAGAGCGCCACCGGTACATCATCTCCGGGTTTCAGAGGTAGAATGCGGATGTACCTTCTCAGGAGGTCCGAAATGGCGACTCCTCTCGGGAAGGAGGGATCCACTCATGTCTCACTTTATGTGCGAGGACGACACTCTAGGAGACAAGCAAAAGGAAAGAAGTTACCACTAGCCTAGGAAGCCAAATCCAGTTTAAATTCATATTAGGATTTTATATTAAAGGACTAAAATACCCCCTATAATACAAGGATATATGCTCGGTATCTAGTTCTAGGGTAAGAGCATTATATAGTCCACATAATGTAACTTTGGCACTACAAATAATGTTCCCTGGAATGAAGCAGGCATTGTAATTTGCAGTGGGTATCACATCATTTCCGCGAGCTATTCGGCTGATGGTTTATGCGGCTGATAAGCCAACTGAAGCTGATTTGTTGTGAGAGAACAACACTGTACCATGGCTGATAATAGTTCAAGCGATCAAGGACTTCGCGTCACCGCCGACCCGCCATATCGGAGACTCCCCTCTGATGAAGCCCTAGAATCGCTCTCCAGATGTAACAGGCCAATGAAAGGGCACACCAGAGGGCATGGTAGTACACAATTCAAGATAGATGCAACAGAGAGAAGACCCAATGCAATGCAGGAATAAGCAGTCTGGAACAAACAAATAAAAAAATAGAAAGAATCGCAGCCGGCGTGAGGCTAATCATCGGGTGAAGCTCACGCCTGCACCTGCACTACGGCAATGGATGGATCAAGATGGAAGCTACTACCAACTTTCTAGCAAAAGCCAAAACTGTATTCTCCAACACACCTCTCTGCCGGCCTTTAAAGTTTAGCCTTTTCATGAAAGCTTTCTCCATCTCTCATGATCCAGACCTACCCACACGACAACATTTATATGTATGTAGCTCTGTCTCTGTGTAATCAATCAATGGATCCTGAGTGAGACTCAGTAAACCACTTGAACCTGATTGTAATTAATATGATATATGCATGGTCTGATGAATATATATAGATGATGCAATAATATCACCCTACTTGTAAACTCTCGTCACATATAGTAATTATTGCCCATGCTATGCATGTTCTTTTTTCTTGGAGGAATTTAGTTTCCATGCATGTAGAAATTGTCATGTGTACAAAGCCCACTTCTTCATCAATTCTTTTCCTAGTAAGGAGTAGAAAGTGAGGATCAATTGCAAATTTTGTCCAAATTAAATGAAGTGTCCAATATCTAATCTAAGATATATGAGTGGCACCTACTCTATATATATAGCTATGATCTATATTCTTCCTTCATCTCATTATTGTCGATCTTTCTCTCTATGTGCACATAATACACCGTACCACTAATGCATTGCACCGTATGAGTGCCAGGCCAACCCGGCCGGCGGCCATATGATACACATGAACCCTAATCATATCACATATATTAGGGACAGGAACATTATTATACATTTCTCCATTACTCGTCCCTAAGCTTCACCCCACATCAAGCACAAACACATATATACATTTTATACATACATATACCCTCCTAGGCTACTTTGATGCGTGACCAAGGGACGACGATGAACTTAATACACTCTCCATATCATGATTGCACAAAAATCTAAGTGCTCGTTCGATCTTGTAGATACACAGCAATTGTGAACGTCGTAAAGCTATCAATCCGGTCCTGTCCGACTTAGGTCCAAACACAAGAGAAATAAAGCAGAAAGATAGCAGGCAGATAACATCATCATTAAACTAGATATAGTAGTATATATGCAGTCGAACCAAAGACAAATCTTAAGAAGAAAACAAAGCTATATACTGTATCATCTAAATGACAACTAAAAGTTGCTAAAGTGGAATACTAACTCACAAATATATAGTAATTAAAACCATCTCTTTCGGCGTTCAGACTACTGGCTTCATTCCCATCATCTATATACACATGCCATTTGTTATTATCTTAGTGTAAGGGATGGGACCTGCGGGGATAGAAGGTGTTGATGCAGGCATGCAGCCCACGGTTATCAAAATAGATGAAGTAGGCGGGAAAGGGACAATGAAGCTGGTGATGAAGTTGAGCCAGACGAAACAAGAAGGCGTTGTATAATTTGGCGCAAGGTGTGATGATCCAGAGGCGGTGGTCCTCGAATAAGATGGCAAAGAACATGAACAACCCATCGAACACCATGCACGTGTTTCATGCAACAATAGCCACAGTGAATTGAGGATGTAGCAACGGAGAAGACCATGTGGCGATGCTGCGACGTAGCAAGGCAAGTAGCAGTAGCCTCACTGATCAGAGAGAAGGCACATATATAGTACTAGAG